CTAATCACGTCTGGCTACGTATAAGGTGCAGTTTCTGACGATGTGGCGCACCTGTGTGTCTCACCTGTAAGAAGAAAACTCCATTTAAGAAACTCATTTCATCTCGGTGCGAATACTGTGAGGATCGTGAGTATGTGCAGTTCAAACAGAACGGTAAGCACCGACTGTGCTTCGGTTACGCCCGCTGCCTTTAGCCGAAAATTAAAAAAATATATATTTAACTTCTTATGTAACATGTAATTATTTTAGTTCTCCAAGACAGATTACAACGTCAGCTCTACACATTCTCATCAATTCTTATGGTCCAGATTTTTATATACAATTCATATACAGATACAAATACATTATTTTGGAGGGCACTAACAAAATATATATGTAAATTAACTAATTAACGCGTTATGCATAACTTGAACAGCATTTTATGTACGTTTTTTTTTAACGATATATACCGAAGGCCTGCTCTGGACTTTGTTTGAAACAACTGAAATGAAGTTCACTGTCCCTCTTCCACAAGAACGTTAAACGCGGCTATGACGACAGTTTATTTGTACAACGGAAAGAAAAAATGTTAGTTATTTCATTAATAATATAAGTTAATAAACTATTTTATCGTAGAAGTTGAAATGAATATACTTTATATTAAACCTTTTCAGAATATGTATGAGACATGTTCCTTGTTATGTTTCTGACTTGTTTTCAAAACCTGTTAAGAAACTTGTGAGACTCGAACATTTCACAGTGTTCCAGGTTTAAAAGCTGTCGTGTCTGTTTGGTATGACTCATGTGCTTGATCAAAATGAAACTGTAATTACTGGCAAAGTCTATTGTAACGTATTAATTAATTATAAATATACCGAAGTGCTCCTGGCAATGTTCCGTTCTGTTTTTGAAAAGGATACCGAAGGTGAGTCAGGACGCAGCCTTGACAGGTTTACTGAGGGATGAATTGGAGAAAAGTGACACTTGGTAAATCCAGATTTTAGTGGTTACTATGCACTGTGGTGCTTTTGATTTGAACAATCTGAGATGTTAATTCTCTGTGGTTATTGTAAATCATCATCTAATCCAAAGATATTAATGGTCATTTTTGGGGGGCTAATTGTGTACGTCACAGCATTCTCCGTTCCTAATTTCACAATGCAAATCAAAAGAAAACATAGTACCAATTCAGCCTATCCGTGTACTGTATGTAAACTCACGGTGTCTTTGAATAGAGAGAATCTCGTATTTCAAATTGTCCAGAGTATTTGTAGAGAACAAAGTATTACCTTTTCTGAACAAAGTAAATTTAACTATTTTTGTTGCTGTTGTAATAAATTAAGAGTTGTTCAGCAATCAAGTCGTTTAAGCAAATGATAATTACATCGTAATCACAATGTAGATCAAATGGCGCTACAACTTTAGAGACCTAATAAATCTGCAGTTTCATTGTAGTCGACTGAAGTACTGTATGTGGACCAAGATGTGTATTGCAATTTAGTTTATTTTCAGTGTATCTTTGTGTTGAGTGTTGGCAATTTAACAAAATATACACTTTGTATCTTGTCACCTATGTTACCTCTTGTTCACTAGATGGAATATTGGAGAACGTTTCTTGTTCGTAAATACGATAAGGTGTATCCCTGCATAAGAGCACTAAGCGCTATCCGAGAGTAATACTGTATGTAATTTGTCTTTCATTTCTGAACACGTGTATGTTTTTCTGTTATGGTTTATAATCTTTAATTTGTCAGTTTTAAAATATGGCTGTGAATTTTCCAGACTTGGCACTGCGGGTTGAATGTAAACTAGGCATGCTGTTCTAACTAGATAAATGGACCACTGGTTGATGTGTATGAGTAAAATAGCTAATTTAAAGAGAAACAGGGTTGCATTTATCTAAATGGATAGTTTATTGCAGATACAGCAGCAGGTAAGTTATTCCTTTCATTTTTTCAAAGGACGAGTCATACCATTAGACAGTTTGTTAGGTTTGTGGATTGTGAAGACTTTAAGGTCGTCTGCTAAGCAAATAAATAATAATAATAATGATTTTCCATGCCTGCTTACTTACTGCAGGATCAAGCAAGGGTGCTCTTGTTCATTAGGGAGTTATTTTGGTCAGGTTTTATTGAGAGGTTCCCTGTGGATTGGCTCCACACTGAAATATTGTCCTAGTCTTTCTGACACAAACACAGGGCAGTACTGAGAACCTGGCGCCAGTTAAAACTAGGGAATGTGTGTGAGAGAGAAGACGAGGGAGGGAGAGGGAGAGAGAGCGTTTGTATGTGTGTAAATGAAAGAAAAGGGGGTGGGGTGTACCTCCATTTTTTTCTGAGAGTCTAATTAAAATAGACTTAGTTTAAGGTTGTATATTATTTTAGAACTGGCTGTATTAATTACGTCTATGTATAACCTCGACATGTTACGAGTTCATCTGGGAAGGCTAGTTGCGTAAAATTACATAATTGAAGTACTTTTGCTCCAAAGTTTACTCAGTGTCTCAGTTACGGCAGTTTTAATAACTTGCCATCTAGTGCGGATTCGTGAAGGTACGTAAATAGCGTGTATCATACTATTCAGGGTGTCATTGGCAAGTAACAAGGTGTAACTTCACTCCAGTCTACAGAACGGTTCAGCGGGCGCAACACTTTAAAATTAAGTGAATACCGTGACTTTCAGTAACATGCGCAATGAATCTTTAAAATGTCAAGTGCATTAGTCATGTTATTTAACTTAGTTTCTCGCAGTCTGGAAAATCTGTTTATAGCATACGCGACTCTGCACTCAGATGGAACGTCTTTGAGTGCTCTTTCAACTCTTTTCGTCTTTGAGTGCTCTTTTCATTTTTGTGAAAATATTGCAAAACGTTGAATATTTTGACAAAGGTTCGCCTATAAATTTCCATGATCAGTGTTCATCACCACAATGGAGCCTGTTACTTGGCTTTTAAAATTAGATTTTCATTAAAACTGAGTTGTATACGACAGAAGCACCCGGGACGTTTTTATTAAGAGGGGCAAACACTCTTAAGATGTAACTTTAGATATTGGGTAAATACAAACAGCTGGAAGTGTTTGAGGCTTCGTCTTGAAAGAGAAGAGTAGCAAAGAGATCAAGCAGCTTGTTTTACTACACTCACGTCTCATTGTTGCACAGAGAAGTAACACTGTGAAGAAGTACCTTATTAAAATAGTTTCTTTTTTCCCCTTTCTTCAATCGGACTATTTCCAATGTTACCAGTTTTCATTTTAGGCGATGTACATCACATTTTTCACCGATAACAGAATGATGTTTGCATGGCTTAAAAACACTTATTACTCGTTGTAATTATTAAGCACTATTTAAGGTGCCTTTGCGCAACTTAGATAAATTAATATTATAGTAAACCACAGTCGTTTGCTCAGAACAAAACGCGGATTAATGTGTTCTTGCCATCTGCTTGAAAATGGAGGTTAACATTTTTTTCAGCCAGGAAAATTAAGTGGTTCAGAAAAAAATATTTGTCGTTTTCTATAAACCAGCTATCCATCAAGTGTCATTAGATAATTACCAATAAAGCATTACTGAGCTCTGTGGCTGTTAATAATGGGTCTTTTTATATAACATGGGAGGGAAATTGGATTATGTATTGAGCCCGTTCAGTAGCTGGAACAAATTAATCACTAGACGACTTTTGAAGCTTTTTCATTACTGTTATATGCTTCAGTTAATCACCGTCCCCTTATCTTTACTCCTTGACGACAGTTTTGAGATTTATCTTAATTGACATCTGTCTTAATGGGCACAGTTACAAAAATTCCTGGCATTGTTTTGTTGTTGTTGATGTTTTCCTCCCACTAGCACTGTTTATGCATTAGACATGACCATAAGTCCTGCCACAAAACTGAAATTCCGACTACTGTGATCCTGGTCTTTCACTCCCTCTTGTGCTCTTAATCTGTGTCCCACGATGAGTAGAGAACTTCGCATATATTGGAAAGATCTTTATTAACATGGAGTTATCGCTCCTATACCCACCACTTACTGGATATTAACCTTGACTATAACGTCCGCAAAATAAAATGTAGGTACACAAACATCCTCCCCATTTGCCTTTAACTTCTCATTCTGTCTATACGAAACAAGAGTTACTTTTTATAGTACTCTGCTGAAAGAAAATGCGCTCACCACTGCATGAGATGCCTTTAGAGACAATAGTTAGAGAAGCGGGGCGATGATTTGCACCTTTCAGTGATATATAGAGGCCAGGGACGCGTAAATATAGCAGGAGCCGAACACCCAGGATTCTGGCTCCACTAAGCTCTGGGACAGGCGCCTCGTAAAACCCCAGTTCCACAGTTTATCGGTACACGAAAACGCACACTGGTGCATTCAATACAAAAAGTCGACACGTTCTCAATTTTGGTAGCATGTGATTTATTGACAGCGATTGAGTTGAGTGGTGTGACATTTAAATAAAGATGTTGTAAAACAAATGTGACCTGCCTGACCGATCATTAAGTCCTTGGCTACTGCTACATGCTTATTCAGAAATGTCTTCTGAGACGTTTGAGGATTCTTTATGTACAAAACTCAATTAAGAACATTAAGAATAAAAATGCTGCGAAAATAATATTTCTATATCATTCCAAACAAGTTTTGCCGCAGTTAAAATACCCAAATAAAACTATATATAAGTAATAGTTTTCATGATGAACACTTCATGCCCTGTTTTTGTTAAAGAAATGTTCCCTTTCAAACTAAATAATAAAAATATCAATAAAACTAATCGACTCCTTTTTGTTCTGCTTACCACAAGCCAGAAATGTGGGGTGGTGATGTAGCGGGGGGTTTCTTTTACAATGAGACTACAAGAATGCGTATCTCCCAGTAGAGGGCGTGCAAAATCCAACTGATCTAATTCGGAGCTCCGACACCCAAGACCGACCACCCCTTATCCCCACCCCACCCCCGCCCCCAGAGAGAAGGAGGTGTCGGGGATCTCTGGCAACAAACCTACATCCAGAATGGGTTTATGGATTACATCACAGCCCGTGTGGATAAATCGGACGAGCCAGGTAATTTTCAGTTTGGCTTCCAGCAAAAGAAAAAGAGAAAACATGCTAATACTGAGACCTCTGGACTTAAAATTGAGTGCTGAAGGACTGAAGCTGGTACGACGCGTGAAAGTAAAAACAACTAAGCAAGAGACAGAGTCTACAGAGGGTTTTTGATGCTGCCACAAACGAATTATATGTAGAAAAGTCAATGTGTACACTTTTTTCTACCTTTTCTGAAAATTTAAAAGGGATCATTAAGTCACCCCTGCCATGGACTCTGTTGTCATACGACAGGAGGTTTGTATCCTTGGACTTACTAGTTTCAATTACTCTTACTAGAGTCACTGGTTGCTATGGTGCAAGCAACTACCTGAAGTTTAAGAACATTAAAAGAGAGGAGCGGTGGGACAAGAGATAACTTTGTGGTACCAGCTTTTGCCTTTTGCAGCGAAGAATTACAAAGGATCTGGCTCTTTTCTGACTCCTAATCTACGAACTAACTGGATGCCTGCTCCAGCTTTTTAAGGATTATTATATCATATTTTGTAACTTTTTACTTCACGTTTGTGAAAGATGCATCATTCACAGTATTTTATAGCTATGTATGTACTGGTTTTGTCCCTCGGTCTTACAATAGAAGAAGGAATGTGCCAACATTACTATCACCTCCGTCCCATTCCCAGTGACAATTTACCAATTGTGGAGCTTATAGAACACCCGGACCCTGTATTTGACCCTAAGGAAAGGGACCTTAACGAGACCGAACTGAGAAGTATACTGGGCAGCAACTTTGACTCTCACTATATGTCTGTATCTCCCCCAGAGGACAAATACACTGGGAACGATGAACTGGCTGATTTGGAACTTAGGCAAAAACCTACCGGGGCAATGCCTAAAGAGATCAAATCCATGGAATTTTTTGACTTTCTTCATGGCAAGAAGCACAAACCGAGTAAAAAACTTAGAAGAAGGCTGCAACTGTGGCTGTGGTCCTACGCTTTCTGCCCAGTTGTTTATACGTGGAACGACCTCGGGAACAGATTCTGGCCGCGCTATGTGAAAGTGGGTAGCTGCTACAGTAAGAGGTCTTGTTCTGTTCCAGAAGGGATGGTTTGCAAACCTGCCAAATCGGCCCATTTTACGATCTTGAGATGGAGGTGCCTGCAGCGAAAAACAGGGCAGAAATGCGCTTGGATACCAATTCAGTACCCTATTATCTCAGAATGCAAATGCTCCTGCTCGAACTGAAATGAACTTTTAATATAAATAATAGCTACATGGTTATTTTTATATGCACTGCCGAGTGTAGGAATGTATATTTTATGTATATGTGGTGCCATTTAATGACATACCTGTAAAAAGGTCAGTATTATGCATAACCAGCGTCTACTGTATTTGGGAAAAATATCCTGGTTGTAATGTATATATCTTTATATTTATATTGAAGAGCACTTCGCATTGCGAAGCAAAAAAGACGTTTATTGAAGGACTTTAAAGCTATTTTCCATTCTTCGGAAAAAGTGGTTTTATGGACCTCAGACGGCAATATATAAATTACAGTGTAATTCTGCAGCTGCGAGAGCTGTAAATATAGAGGTAAATTTGAATGATTAATCATGTAAATTAAGAGTACCTGCTATTTATTCTTTATATTCATGTAGTAAAATGCCAGTAAAGAAATTAAAAGTAAACCACTAAAACGACTTTGGTAAGAGTTGGCTGTCTTCTTGAGTTTTATTTCCCTTTATTCAGTGCTTTATATGATGCTTTGGAAAGGATGTCCGCTCATTTTCTATCCTTGACATTTCATTTACAAGGAGACACGTGTCTTTCACACCTACTATTGTGGACAGACATTGCTGAAACTTGACCCCTTGCACTGCCTCTCAAAGACGTTTTATCGCAGACACCTTCCTAGCTTTATCCTACTTGATCCCATCACACGCCGGACTTTCCCCCACAAACTACTTGAAGCGATACGATTCTGTCCTATTAGCTCTGAACATTTCAGACTAAGTAGCAATGCAGTTATAGAGCAACGCTCTATTTAACCATATTCCATGAGCAATGAATTGAACAAAATAGCATAAATATATTCAGATTGGTCACCGTATAAGAGTGCGAAAAATATTAAAATACTAACAACTTGCATCACTGTTTTGTCCATTGCGTCCCATTCCGGGAGTTCCTTAAGTTATAGTGCTTATTTAATACACATAACTTACTATTCATCTTCAGTTTGTTTGCCCTAGACGTAAAACACAAAGCTGGCTTTTTCAGCAAGTCGAGTGTGGAGGGTTAAAAACGTTGTCATTTTAAAGTCTGGCTTAATGCATTTATTTATTTAATTGCAATATAAGTGCTCGTTTTGTTAGTGTAATAAAGGTAATTAAGACGCTAGTGTTTTATCGGCGTTTCACTTATCATGTGATAAGGAAAATAAAAAGTTATACCAGTGGTGTTTTACTTTAAAAAGCCGCCTTCGTCTATGTTTAAGAATAAATCTTCTTATTCGCAGAATTTACCTTTCAGTCCTAATTTAAAGTTTTATCAATAACACTGTCACGATTATTATCTTCCTATTATTACTACGTTTTCTGCACTCAGAATGAATTAGGTATCCTTATAGCTATATTTGGCATTTGCTATGCTACGCTCAACAAGGCGTTAAACATTAGAATAGAAAGGAAAGGCATAATTCAAGACTTTGTGTTAATACTTTCCTACCTTTCAGCAAAAATCGAGTTATGGTTTATTTTGTTTAAAAGTTATTTGGTGTAGCCTGTCTTCTACAGCCCTTCATATTATTGCAAATCTGATCCTTTTTTATTTCAGACATTGTAACATTCATTCGCTTTATGGAAAATAGGAACAGCGGCATTATTTCTCTTAAAGAAAAGAACCCTAACCCCCAGACAATCTGAAGGGTCTTTGTAAAAGGATTAAATGTTAAAGACCTTCATCTTACGATTCTTTCATTTAATCTGTGTGGCGCCTGAAAGACACGCTGGATGGATGATCACATGTAAAAATATTCCGATGTCTGCTACCTTCAGTCTCCAGTCAAGGAAAACAAACTTCACTTGTCTCAGTAAGAAAGAGGATATTGAGATTTTTTACGTTTCTAAATTACTGAACTGTTTAGAAAATTTTTTGACAAGTCCCCAAATAATCTTTAATGCCCCTCATTCATTAGCCTACATCCAGCGTTCCTTCGAAGTAAGTATTCGAAGATCTCCCCCCCCCAGTCTTTTCATCACGAAGATAGCCAATACTTCAACTTGTTTATTCCCGGCTTCCCACTGCGTCTTCCCCCCCTTGCACAAATACTTTACGAGATGGATTCGGTACGAAGAAACACGCAAGTTATGCTAATAAAACCGTAGCTTGCCACGGGATGCCCGCCAAGTTCTTAAAATGTCAACACACTTCACCCAAACTGTGAAGTTCTGCTGTAACAACCCCTTACAAATGTAACTGCTGATAGTGTAACAGGGATTTATTTATTCACAGTATTTGCTACTGCTGACAGATCCCAGACACTGTGTTTCTACTCCCACGCCTATCTATCCATTATAAACACTTTGCGGACAGAGCTTTATAAGAAAAATAAACCATTGGGTTGCTAAGAAGTTGAGCGTAGTATGGTCAATTAAGTCTGTCAAATACCGTTAATTTGCCTCACGCTACAATTTTCTCTTTCTTTTCTAAAAAATGGCAACGTGTTTACAAAATGCTGCTGGAATCTGGTGGCAAATCAGGAAGGGCTTATGATGTTACATTTTGAACGACGTTGTGTTTTGTAATTTGCGGAGATCATTTATGCTGCGCGGATATGTCCGAGTAAGTGTCGATCTGAGAGAGCTTTTGTTTTAGGTCTTTGTACCTCAGAACTAATTTTCTTCCGTTTTTGAATATGAATAATTTAAAGCGTTCACTTTTTATCGGTCTTATTCATTGTCAATAAGAGCATACTAGAATACTCATAATAAAATGGAAAATAATTGTATCTGGATTGGCTCAGCGTATTCACTTTTAGGCATAAAACATTAATGAAAGTCCCAAAACATTTGGAATTTTAGTTGGTCAGATTTTCCTAATATGAATTCTGCCTGGTATCAACTAGTTATACAAGTTCAAATAGGTAGCTGCGTAGGCTGCAAAGAAACAGGTAAAAGGTTCCATGTTGAAAAGAAAATATGCACGTCGTTTCGACTGTGGAACCTTCTTCAGATCTCTTTTCATCACCTAGGTGTATATTTTTTAGCTTGTTTCTAGCCTTGCTGTCAAATAAGGCAGGCCATATTATCAGAAAGGGCACCCTGTATGTTTTTCATACATTCTGTACACACACATTAAACTAAATCTTTCATAATTGGCAATTTTGCTGGTTTGGTTTCCTGTCTCTTGAAATCTTGAAATCTTGAAATGTCTCATAAGTTAGTAAAGTAAAATTATTATCCTATGGTTCCTTTAGCCGGACCATTTTGCCTCTGAGGAAACTGTATACCTTACCCTTTGAGCTTCTTAACCCAGAAATGTAGGATTCAGTCAGGCCGATGTATAACTGTCCTCAACCTGGACTGTGAACGCGGACTCTATCTGGAAGAAGGGTCAGCAGCACCTTTATTTCCTGAGGTGCCTCAAACAATGGGGGATTCCAGTACCTATGGTTGTGAACCTCTACCGCTGCACCATCGAGAGCGTCCGCACCAACGGGTTAACCGTGTGGTACGGCAACACCTCTTCTTGAGAAAGAAAGGCACTGCAGAGAATGGTGAATATGGCCTAGAAGATCATCGGCTGTGGTCTCACAGAGATTAAAAAGCTCTATGAGGACCGCTGCCATGGTAGAATTCTGGCCATCACAGAGGACAGTCACTACCCGGGGCACGAGCTCTTCACCCCACTGCCCTCAGGCAAGAGATACAAGAGCATACAGACACTGACTACTAGATTCTTCAATAGCTTCAATCCATAAGCAGTGCGATTGGCTAACACATTTGGCCATGCCCCTCGGACCACACCTACACCATCTACCTCATTATAATTTCTTATTTATTGCTCATCTGCAGTCACTGTTTACATGTCTGCATTGTTTACATTCAAACTGTTTACTTGTACATTGTTTACTGTTTGTTTGTATATTGTCTTGATGCACTGTCATCACTTTGCATTTTTACACTTTTTTAACAATCAAGAGACTTTCTGTAAGAATTCCATTGTACCAGTATATGTACCAGTTACATATGGCAATAAAGTTTAAGTTCAATAGGCAACAAATAATAATAATTCCTTACACTTATAAAGCATTTTTCTGGACACTCCCCTCAAAGAGCTTTACAGGTAATGAGGACTCCCCTCCACCACCACCAATGTGCAACACAGACCTGGATGATGCAACAGCAGTCATAGTGCTCCAGTACACTCACCACACATCAGCTATCAGTGGGAAGAAGCCAATTCATAGATTGGGATTATTAGAAGGCTATGATTGGTAACAGTCATTGGGAAATTTGACCAGGATGCCAATGTAACCCCTACTTTTTCCAGTGATAGCCTTTAATAACACAGAGAGTCAGCACTTCAGTTTTACATCTCCTCCAAAGGAGGCCACCTTATTACAGTATAGTGTCCCCATTACTATACTGGAGCATTAGGACTCACAACGACCACAAGGTAAGCACCCCCTACTGGTCATACTAACACCTCTTCCAGCAGCAGTCTGAGCTTTCCCATCCAGGTGCTGGCCAGGCTCACACCTGCTGAGCTTCAGTGGGTTGCCAGTTGTGAGTTGCGGGGTGATATAGCTGCTGGACAACTGTACAGTTGGAGAGGATGAGATGTGATGACCTCACCCAAATTTAGTGAGACTGCTTTACCTTTTGATAAGGATGGATTCCTTAACCGAAGAATTATATCTGAATGGAATATTAAACAATTCAGGTCTTCAAATAGATAATCTCTTTAGATCATAAAAACAGAAAAAAAATCTTTAATCTCTCCGTTCTAAAGACTACACTTAATCCATGCCTACAAACATTTCTTTTTACCGTGTTGGTAATAATCTCAGTTGGAATGCAAGGCAAAGTTCAATGGAACTAATATGATTATACTTCCCTTTTTACTTCATGTAAAAGGTAATTGCATTTTCAATAATTCTTTCAATGATTCAGAGCAGGGTGTGCAGGGCCCTGTAATGACCCTTTAAATATAAACCTAATTACTTCCAATGGAGCTCTTTGTGAACTATAACAGGGTCAGAATATTGCCACCTTGTTTTCTTGGGGTTAAGTTTTTTGTAAATTTAAGAGATCATGTATAATTTAAAGCTTTGTTTCTCAATTTTAAAGGATAAATCTGTTTTATGATATGCTTTTCACAGTGCGTTTATTTGAATTTTGTAAATCAACTTTAGGAAAGGCTGCAAAACTGCATAATCTTTTAAATCAAATTTATAATAATAATAATATAATAATTGCTTACACTTATATAGCGCTTTTCTGGACACTCCACTCAAAGCGCTTTACAGGTAATGGGGACTCCCCTCCACCACCACCAATGTGCAGCATCCACCTGGATGATGCGACGGCAGCCATAGTGCGCCAGAACGCTCACCACACATCAGCTATCAGTGGGGAGGAGAGCAGAGTAATGTAGCCAATTCATAGAGGGGGATTATTAGGAGGCCATGATTAGTAAG